AGGGTCTTTGGGAGCCTTTATGTGCTATTTTCTGATTGCATATAGACAACATAAGCCGGCCTGGTTGAATTACCCCCGTTTTTAGAACTGGGCTAATCAGAAAACAGCCGAAGACCACCTAACCCCCAGTTCTATAAGCCTACTACAGAGGCTGGCTTTAATGCATGTTGAGGGCAGGAATAGCTTGCGTCGTGTCGAGGAACTTAAGATGCATTAGGTTCCCGGGCGTTTGACCTCTTTTTGAAGATGTGAAGGACTAGTAGTCGGGGTCTGTGTCTGAATGTAATCTTGTCAGGAAATTACCCCGTGATGTAATCATTTCTCACGTCCAGGAGATTACATGTACGTGCTGAAAATAGCCTCCTTCATTTTCCAGGAAGAGATCCTTGATTTTCCAGGAAGGCAGTAGTGACTGATGCATCAATTAAAGCTTCCTCCATCCTGGACTGGCCCAAGTCGTCACGGCATTTTGATTTAATTGTATTGATGTCACCCTCCGGGAATCCCAACTGATGCGAGCGTGCGAGTAAAACAGTTCATTGCCATGATGGATGAGTATGGTATGGCGAATACTAGTCACAGACTCTGCATTTTCTTTTCTTCAGTGACATTTTACATTTTTTTCTCTTTTTCCTCTGGAATTGCATAGTGGCATTCTACGACATTAATATGATCATTTTGTCGATAATTTTTTCCACTTTCCGGTATGTATTTGCTCATTTTGCAACTGATTTGTACGATTTACAGCATGGTCGAAAACTTTTTTTTGGAAACGGACGAAACTTCATGCGCGCGCGGAGGCCATCCATGTAATCAAATCGACATGGCCTTATTAGATCATACCGAAATGACGGTCGTGTAATCATGGGAGGATGAGGCGTACACGATGAAGATATCACGAAGCAATCTAAGGAGGAGTCTGATGATTTGAAAGTGCTATTTGGGAAAGTGGAGGACAATTGCACATCAATATAATCCGTGAAATTATGGTTGGGATATAGCGAGTATGATGATATTCACCACGTCAAAATTGAAAACGCATAGTATGGAATGATTTTTTTCAGAGACCTTAAACACCACTGATGTCAAAATGGTGTCAGAGTTTGTCAATGTTTGAAGTTGGTGATATTTGACACGCCGTCACTTCAGCAGTGCTCGGAAGTTTATATCGTCTGCGCGATCGCGCGTTTTCCAACACAGCTTGTTTTCTTGAGTTCATTCAAAAAGTAAGCCAAATTGATATCGATATATGCAATATTAGAATGTATATACAACCTGAAATGGTGATGTCCGATGCACACCTTTCTCCCTCTCCTTTTAACCTTTTGATCACTATCTTCAGGGGCCGAACGATATTTTTAATCAGTTTATCTTGCTTTTAATGCTTGCCTTTAATTAATAAAGATAATGTTTAACACACTCAATGTTGGTTTAATATGTAGCAGAATTTCTTAACACAAGACCACAAAACTATTTAAAGGACAGGAAAGATTGCATACACGTGCGAAAAATGGGACGCGTGCAAAAATGACCCAGTGTGTTTTACTTGACCATGAAGAAACAGGAATTGACAAGGGAGAGCCCCGTTACGGACCATTTTCAACGCCTATTCATCTTCCTTTGTCGCCACTAATTACACAGACCGCCTCACAACGTTGTATGCTGTCTTGCCTCATTACCGACATGCACACCCGAAATGTAATTTGCAGGACGCCGGCACAATCTTGATGGATGTGTGTGCCTTACAGCGTATTTTGACCAGATCAACACCGGACAAACTTGGGCTCATAACGCTTTCCGTTGATGTTTGTTTTAACCCCGCTAGGCAAGCCGTCAGCCGTTGACAGATTGCCAGCAAACAGCGGAGTCGAATGTGCTAAAGAACATGTCATTACTGACAGATAATAAACAGCCTTGTAGGGCGGCTGTACAGTTCAGTTACTATCCAATCAGAGGTTTGGGTTTAGGGTTATTTTTGGCGTGTTTTTAGGCTTTTTATCGGGGTTTCTCTTTTGCACTGGAACCCGACGGGTTGGGTGAAAACAAATTCCAGTGCAAAAGAGAAACCCCGATAAAAAAAGCCTAAAAACACACCAGAAATAACCCCAAACCCTAACCTCTGCTTGGAGAGCACAGTTCAGTACACTCAACGCTGATGTACATTGGCTGTAGCGTACTTTCTCTAACCTGTCTATCAGGGTTCTTGCCTAGGCTCTTTTTGATTGGTTTTCATACTGTTTACCAGTTCTGATTGTGCCATGTTAACGTTTCTAACAGTTACATAACCTACGCCTGGAGTACGCTACAGTTGGTGATTTGAAGACAGGATGGCTGTTCAAAACCGGGGAACATTCAGAATACAGCATATATATTCATAAGGATAATAACTTTACTGTACAACAATTGTACAGAGTACAACGTATGGCATCTACTAGTACATAACTACAATTTCATAAGGCTTACCTACCTAATACAAAACTGCGTGGCTAGTAGTACATGTAGGATGAGGATGAGCTTTTACAATCATTGGAGGAATTTCTGACGTCTAGATATTCTTTAATATATATCCCTATGTACACCATTTATGGGTTGTCACATGTCATTTTGTACTTATATTTAGTCCCCGCCCCTCCCCACGGCCTAGTCAGGATCTAGGTAGCCTGCTACATTTTCTCTCTCATCGTCCACAGACTAAGAAAGAGAAAGTGTAATCCTATCAGTACCTCGTCCTGTCGCCCAAAAATGACAGGTATGCTTTGTAGGTAAGTAGCGCCTAGTGAGGGTCGAAGGTTAATCGAACCCCGGGGCCCATTGCTGAATGACATGCCCTCGTCAGAGTCAAGGTTACAAGTCTGCTCATTCATCTATTCTGTCTGTATCTGAACTCATTCCTATGCAGTCTCCGTACAACGTTTTAATCTCATCCCGAACCTAATATAAATTGCTGGGGAAAGGTTGTATGTTACTGCGGCAGAATCCTTATCTTTTTTTTTATATTAGAAGAAGTCAAACCCAGTAAAACTATAGCTTGTACCCTGTATGTTGTAGAATATAGTATACTGTTACGGATGTAGATATAGTCTCACATACCACTGTATTTTCTTTCTTATGTTGTTTGTAACTGCAATTAGCCCTCGGGCATGTATTTGCAATAAACTTTCTATGTTTCTATATTCCAACATTTAATCACAAGACGTGGTGGGGATACACTCAAGATTTTTCAACTTAATTAATACCGCCACCAACACAGGAGACAATGCAATACTCATTTTCACCTGAGCGAAGCGAGGAAAGTGTAAAGTGCCTTTCGCAAGGGCACAGGATCGGTGGCATGTCAGGACTCGAACCCGGGACCTCTTGGTTCCGAGTCGAGCACTCTGCCGTTACGCCACGCAACCCAGCGTCTGTTTTTGCTAAGCCCAGTACCATATCTTTTGAACCTCAATGCACAAAAGTAGTACAAAAACACGCAGTCAGTCTAAAAACTTATCGAAAAGAAAACGGCATATATGATCACCTGATATTGTTTCCATTAATCACTTATGACATGCTTGATGTATTAATGTGATCTATGCCAAATAAATTGCCTGCCATTATAATTTATAATGGTTTATTTAATGAAGTTTGATTAATAGGCGCTAAAATTATCCGCGATTAAAAGATTACTTTACATAAGTACTTAATGCCCGTGTCTGAAAGACTTGATTACCGTATTCATTATGGATGAAAGAAGCACCAGAATTGTGTTTCAGGGAACACCACGTGCTGCTTCGGAAGAGCGACAGTTTGATACCGAAGGCGCCAGTCTGACTCGATAACATTGTATACAGTGGCGTGTTTCAGGAAGGGATTCTGTGTCTTCTGTATATCTTCTGCATGCAGTGTATCATCTATTTTAGACGACGTCTCTGTTTTGTTCTATCGCCTGCAGTGCAATGGATACCCTTGAACAAGCTAGTAAACTTTCGACAAAGTTAGAGCTAGAGCTTCGCCTTATATGTACGGTCACGTTTCGTGAATAGAGGTTCTAGCCCCGCTTGAGCATTGTGAGATGGGTTGCATTGGTACTTTCGGTTGGGGACGTAAAGTCGGCGACCCCTTCTATGGCGAGCTTCTTATGACAGACACAGCTAGACGTCTGCACGTAAGAAAATGCCGGCACACTAGCCTAAGTAAGGGTGACAAGATGTGCCTTGCTGATACTACTACCACTAGCTACTTGAAAAGTACGATGCTTTACCTCAGTTGAGGATGGCTGCTATAATCTTACACTTAGCGATGTAAAGCAAAACCTCACCTTCATGGTTGAACTCAGGGATGTAGGCCGAGCATGACACTTCCACTACACCGACTCCGGCTTTCGCGTAAGGCCAACAGGTCAGTCCGTCAAACGTCGCATTACAGTGCAACCCTACAGAGAAAGGGGGGAAAGGGGAGGTACGGTTAACCCTTGTCCTGCTGGCAATTTGTACACAATATTTTGAAATAATTTGATGTCTTAATCAGGTCACGGACCCTTGACTTTTTTGCCCTGCGGTGGCGTAGTTACTTCCGCATCCGTTGCGTTTCGCTGCGGTGTGATGCGTTGCACGAGAAATACCCTCAAATCATATATATACAGGGCACTATATAGATGGTACTATAGGTACAGCCCATATATATATATATATGTGTGTGTGTGTGTGTGTGTGTGTGTGTGTGTGTGTCCCCGCATGACAAGGGTTTTAAGATTTGCAACAACGTGGGCGGATGTGGTGTGACAAAACATGCCAAAAGTTGTCTTTACACAAGTGTGTCTTTGTGACAAGTGAGTCCACAGCTGATATCTGATATGTCTATCTAACATGTCTGCTCTTTGTTATTCTTGTACGTTACTCTTGTTTTGACTACCACGAAGTGTGGACAACATAACGTTACACACTATCAGCCTGACATTGAACTAAAACCTTTCATACAGTATAGGGACATTGGACGTTTTTTTGTAGTGTTATGTTTTTAAACTCGACTGCTCCAATCACAACAGGCCAATTATCAAGGCCATCAGTAGTATCGCCGGTAGCCCTGAATGGAAGATTAACATTGTTTTTACATTTGGTCATCTCATAGCATATATCCTTGCAACCGCCCGTGCCCTATGTCAACACCGCTCTTTGTTGTTTTTTTTACGCAAAGTCCTTGTCCTAGATTCGGACATGTCTGTAAATCTATCGCTTCTGGAGGCTAAGAGTAACTTGATGCCATAAGATGGGTAAGCGGTCGGAGAGGTACAAATTTATAAAGGAAAGACTGGCTAAAAGAGAGAAAAAGGTCCTTCCCGCACCAGGTTGTGCATAGGGTGGTGCCTATCTGTTTTATTAGGCCTAGAGCCACACCAATCACTTGTGATAGTCCACTGGTAGTGGTGTGTGTGTGTGTGTGTGTGCTTGTGCTTGTGTGTGTATGTGTGTATGAGTCTCTCTCTCTCTCTCTCTCTCTCTCTCTCTCTCTCTCTCTCTGTGTGTGTGTGTGTGTGTGTGTGTGTGTGTGTGTGTGTGTGTGTCTGTGTGTCTGTGTGTGTGTGTGTGTGTGTGAGTCTCTCTCTCTCTCTCTCTCTCTCTCTGTGTGTGTGTGTGTAAGTCCCACATTCTTTCCCATTTTAAAAGTCTTTGGTATGACTTGGTCGGGATCGAACTCAACCTGTCGAATGCAAAGCGAAAACTCTACTCACTTGGCAATTGCTGAGGAGAGAAAGACACGTATTAAAGAATCAGAAAATGAACTGTTCTTACCACTGCTGGCGTTGATCATGTTCGCTTCTATGTAGTCGTTACAGTCTTGTTCGGCTTTCTGGGTGGCGAGTGCCAGATCAAACGTCTCACAGTTCGCCTGAAACACAACATAAGTTTGGTCACGATATTGTTTAGTCAAATGATTAAATATATATCAAAGAATGTTTAGACCTTAGAACAAGTAGTATGATTGATTCATATATTATCTTGTATGTAGGTTTACTTCGTTGTAGTGTAAGACATAACGAAAGTCGCTCTACTTTTGTTGTGTCAATAAAAAGTTCTGTAATGATTGTACATGTAGTGCTGCCGATTTTGGTCTGTTTCCCAATATAAGTATGTTGCTTTCCCTGGTATTTTCAGTAATGGCGATGGTTCATGCTAAATTGCTAAATTGTCGCATTTCCTTGTGTCAATTTGAGTTAAAACGTAGCGTTACACAAGCAATGGTTAATAAAATACCATTTTGATTGATTGATTGAAGGGTTAGAATTCTTTACATTCTAGTCTCGTTCGGCTACAGTTGACAGAAAGAGTGTCAAGAGTGTCAAGACCTGTGTACAGGCTAGTAACAGTAGTGGAATCTTGTATGTGGTTTCAGATTCACCTCGGTTTAAAAATACATGTTATTGAATGAAGTATCATACTCATTCATACATTTCTTTCCCTACAGCAAAATTTGCAATTTCGGTTAGCGCAAGGTAGTATCAACTGTGGTATCAAACGACTTATGATTAAATATTGCAGCATGTTATTGAATGAAGTATCATACTCATTCATACATTTCTCTGCCTACAGCGACATTTGCACTTTCGGTCAGCGCAAGCTAATAATACCCAGACAAGGCGTCTGCGGTATCAACTGTGGTATCAAACGGCTTATGATTAAATATTGCAGCCAACATTGCAGGCTGTCATATCATATCTTTCTCATATTCCCACCCACTATGTATGTACGCAGGAGTAAATTGAAAACGCGCGCCTGTTAAGTCAATGGCGCTCCGGGGCATTAGTACAGTACTTGTTACCTCCGGGGGAGGAGACATCCTTCCGCGGAAGGGTTTTGTGAGAGATTTAGATTTTCATGTTCGCAGATGTTTCTTGCGTTTGAGTGGACGGATTCTTTTGAGACTCGGTATATGTTTTGCTATTGGGCTGCAGATGATGCACGTTCTTTTGTTTTTATTGTATATGTGTTTTCGGGCGTGAAAATGGTGCCTTTTGGTGGCCCCAAAACACCCCTTTGAGCATGAAAGTGGTCGCGACCGTTGACCTTTGGCGTGTTTAAGCTATTCTCGGTCTGGTCCACGTATATGACCCCTCACACAGAGGGGTGTCCAGTCTCGATAAATTCTTTGTTTAAAACCCTACATAAAAATATACAATAAAAAGCCCGAAGGTATAAAATCTCAGATTTTACTTGTTGTTGTTGGAATAGATGATTGAAGGAGGCGATAATAATAATGATGATCTAAAGCGCGAATTCACGCCCCCAAGGTTAATGGAAAGTTGATATGATCTTAACCCTTCCTTAAGGTGTTTCTTAATCTAAAGGTATATCTAAAAGCATTACTGTTTTTCTCGACATATTTTGGAGATAAAAGTACGAGTCACATAACCTGGGTGTCATCCGATTTGATAATTTTTTTCGGGGTTGCCGTTACAAATTGGATGGCACCCAGGTTATGAGTCACAGTAGAATAATGAAAGAAAAAAACAACCCATATCATTGTATAAGAATATCACAATGCAGTCACATGGGTACCATACTAGAACATCAGACTCACAGACCATCCGCCTTCCTAAACTACGAACAAATGTACAGAAAAGAAGATTTTTGTATAGAATGTCCAGTGCTTGGAATGAAATGAAGTGGTGATGATGTAAATGTAAATAGCCTTATTTTAATCTGTGTTAATATGTTGTAATTGTCATGTATTTATGTTTTGTAAATATGTCATGTGTGTCTTGAAGGACCACAGGAAGAATAGCTACATTTGTTGTAAGCTAAGTGTGGATCCCAATAAAGTCAAAGTAATTACAAGGGGTTAAGTTTACGTATTATACATCATAACACGGCTATTGGGGAAACACTTGGTTAGAAGTGGCTATGACACTTTGCGGTTCATAGATAAGTTATTTGGACGTTTTTAAATGGACGCAATTACTAATTGATTGGGGTGTTAGCCAATGGGAAGAGGAAATCGTAAACAGTCGTTCTAGACGTCAATAGATTGATGGTTGTTTGACTGTTCCTGGTAACGGCCACGGTAATGACCATGAACAGGAAACAGTGTAACACACACACCTGAGCACATAAAAACAGTTCCCCACAGGTTCAAAAACAGCTCAGCATACAAAGGGAAGTGAACAAGTGAAAAACAGTAACCCAACCCTGCTTCATAATCAACGCCCGATATTTGAAGAGGCTAGGACCCTCCTTGTAGTACACTAGGCTCTACCAGGCACCGCGGGTCGCTGGCAAAATAGTAGAAATTGGCCAAAATAAAGGGATAGTATACCAGAGAACGAACGAACCAGCTGGTAGATTAGTACAGTGGCTTCCTACTGGGAGACGTAGAGTGGGACGTCCTTATACTACACTTTTGTCCATGCTAGAGAGAGACACTGGTCTCGCTGGGCCTGCATTAGTGTCCGCTATGAGAGACAGGACATACTGGAGTAACTTTATCAAGTGTACCTCACCGGATTAGTATAATCTAATCCGGAGGCATGATGATGATGATGATACCAGAGAAGATCCCGGGCCATAGAAGATCCAGGTAGGTCGCGAATTGGATCTTCTATGGTCCGGGGTTTTCTCTGGTATACTATCCCTTTATTTTGGCCAATTTCTACTATTTTTGCAGCGATCCGCCGTGCCTGGTAGAGGCTAGTAGTACACACCCGCAAGCTGAACGTGGCTATATATATCACAGTAAGCCGGGAAAAACACTTGGGAGTTGGAGGCGTCGCCGCGTCGCGTTGAGGGCCATCGTAGACCTACTAACTGTGAACGTGTAACGTGTTTTTCGCGGAAGTCCAAAAGTGAAATCCTGTTAGGGGACAATGGATTCAACAGGGGATGACGTCGGGGGCATTTGATCTTTTGCCAGTGCAGGAAGTAATTTGCGGGTTCCAGATGTGCTTTATACACTTAGCCGCTTATAAATATATATGTATGGTACAACGGACTAAGTGTTTGTCTTTTGACACAAAAATAGACGTGGAAAATAAGTATACAAGAGAAACACATCTGGTCCTTACAAATTGCTTCTTGATATGACATACAGTAGGTTGCCTGTGTCGTGATCAAATGTGCTTGTAACCTTGATCCTCCTATGCATTATTCCCATTCCTGGATTGTCAACATCTGGAGTGAGCTAATTTTTTTCGTAAACATTATCTTACAGTTAAAGATACGAGTTCCTAATTCACGATTTCAAAATGCCGTTTGAAAACGTCAGTTACCACTTACTATCAATATTTGGCCAAAAGCTAGCACTACCTTTTTTTTCACAGTGTAACACTATAACAGGCCCCTAAGTACCTTCCGTGTATCTAAAAGCGTTTTTGCTATGCGGTCTGTTGCCCGTCTCTTAGCGAAGTCGCCAAGGATGCCGCTGTGGCAACAAGATGCTGAGTAGTCTGAAACTATCCAAACTGAGTAAGGTTACTCCCGGTCAGTGGGTAGACACGTTAGGAATCTGCATCTGTATAGCCGGTACAACCGCCCCTCGGCGTAACACACCAGCTTCGCAGGCACGCGGCGTGGCGGCAGCTAGCTATATCACACCGAACGGCTTGTTACACTCAATCTTTGCACATTTGGTTGCATGAGTTGTTTAAAGCTTTCTAGTGATGTTGCCCCAACTGTGCTTGGTGGCAACGAGTTCCAGTCTACGATAGGTCTGGGGAAATACAAGTTTTTTAATGCCTCAATTCTTGGTTGATAACTCTGCTATTTGAAGGCATGACTGTTTCTTGTTCTTTTCTGGGCTGGTATCAGATACTTAGTGGTTGGTACGTCCACCAGTTTACTAGTCAAACTGAGTAAGGTTACTCCCGGTCAGTGGGTGGAAGACACGTTAGGAATGGCTACAGGTCACAGAAGACAGACCAGTTATGTCTCATCAAACTTAGGTCACAATAAGTAATTTTCATGGATGACATCAGCGCGCGTACTGATTTTCGCTAGCCTCTACCAGGCACCGCGGATCGCTGGGAAAATAGTAGAAATTGGCCGAAATAAAGGGATAGTATACCAGAGAAGACCCAGGGCCATAGAAGCTCCAATTTGCGACCCACTTCTATGGCCCTGGATCTTCTCTGGTATACTATCCCTTTATTTCGGCCAATTTCTACTATTTTCCCAGCGATCCGCGGTGCCTGGTAGAGGCTAGATTTTCGCCTGGTTTTGGAAACTGGTCAACATGTCGAAAATGGGTAAAATGGCATGTCTTGCCATGCCGGAACGTGGATGGCAGATAAATATAAAAAGGGGAGACAAGACAATGCTCTGATTTATTGTCTGCTTTGTCTTTTACTTTGATGCAGTGATGTATTTCGTTCCTTTGATATGTTCCCACTAAACCATTGGTACCATGATTGAAAACTTGTCTTTTTCAAAGCTTTTTTCAGTGACAAATGGATGTTGTAATGTAGTTGGGGTCTACATTTACACGGTATCTGTAATGCAACACTAAGTAATGTTTATGGATGATGTCGGCGTGCGCATTGAATTTGGCCTGTTCCCAGAAACAAGAACAAGAAATTCCGCTTCCTGTAACTATGAATAAAGGGTCACGACAGTGCCGCAAATCGCAAGATTGGAAGATTTGATCAAAGGAAAGAAACAGAGCAGGACGATAACTGCAGTTCCACTGATTTATTGCAGCTGTTTTCATGACGAACAAAAGGCATTTGTTGTCCCTTTGTATACTTTAAATCTAGGCATCTTTTGGCCCATCTTGTTTTTTTTGGCGCTCTCGCATTAGATTTAGGGTCTCCAGAGGACGTCATCCGTAAAAATTACTTGGTGTGGCCTCATGAGTAAACGTCCCTGACGGTACAGATCATTGGTTTTACTGCCGAT